GCTACTGTATGACCGTTTTTATATTTTTGATAAAACCAATTTCTTCTAATTTTAAATACGTTTTCCACTGAATTTGTGATAATTCGTTATCACGCAAGTGCTAAATGCGTGACACATTTATGATCTAGCATGTGCTTCTGCAAAATGCGTGTTTCATCCAAAATCACTTTGAAACTTAACGCGGGACTGTCCCGCACGATGCGTGACGGTTGGTAACTATGGCTCGAATTCAGCCCTGGCCATCAGGTGCAAGCTCGGTGGTCTAGAGGTATGATGCCAGACTAATGATCTGGAACTGGAGAACTGTGTTCGAGTCCCACTGGAGAACAACTTTCACACGCACTGATTATTCAGTACATTTTCACGACAAGTTGGGCAAAATTACACATAATAGGCCCCCTAATTGATTCTCCTGACACAAATCCAGGTATTGTTTATTCCATCACGATAATAACAACTACCATTTAATAATAGAACAGTCATCTCGACCTACTTGCAGTGAAGTGAATCTAAAATGTATTTATGAAGTTATGATGATCTGAAGTGTTTAAAATCGTACACAATAATAGTTGAACCAACTTTAAAATACCACAAATACAAATGTGCGTGACGATATTTTATTGCTTTAGAAATGTGATTTAAAAAAGTATATTAGTGCATCACGCACTGAGTAGGCCTATTCAATACATATTCACACAGGTTGGGCAAAATACATATAGGCCCCCTAATTGATTCTCCTGACGCAAATCCAGGTATTGTCTATTCCATCACGATAATAACAATTACCATTCAATAATACAACAGTCATCAGCCTACTTGCAGTGAAGTGAATCTAAAATGTATTCGTGAATTATGATGATCTGAATTGTTTCAAAACGTACACAATAATAGTTGTACCAACTTTAAAATACCACAAACACAAATGTGCGTGATGATATTTCATTGCTTTAGAAATGTGATTTCAAAAAGTATATTAGTTCATCATGCACGAGTAGGCCTATTCAATACATATTCACGACAGGTTGGGCAAAATACATATAGGCCCCCTAATTGATTCTCCTGACGCAAATCCAGGTATTGTCTATTCCATCACGATAATAACAATTACCATTCAATAATACACATTCATCAACCTACTTGCAGTGAAGTGAATATAAAATGTATTCGTGAAGTTATGATGATCTGAAGTGTTTAAAAACGTACACAATAATAGTTGAACCAACTTTAAAATACCACAAACACAAATGTGCGTGACGATATTTTATTGCTTTAGAAATGTGATTTCAAAAAGTACATTAGTGCATCGTATGTAAGGGCTTGTTTTGTTGGGGTTTTTTTACTTGCAGCATGTGGGAAATTGGTAATAGGTAAATTGTAATGAATATAATCAATATTATAGCCTCTAAAACCTAATTATTATTATTTTAAAGTTTAAATAGGATTTTTTAAAGTTATATTTTTAGATCATTAGACCCGA